CTCTGCAATTTATTTTAAGAAGTATTATTTGACTTGCTGGTGCATAGACAAGTTCACCTTTAGATCAAAACAATAGTTCTTTTAAAATATGATGTATGGATGTCTTTTATCACAGTTTTAATCATTAAACCAGTCAACGTATCGTGCATTGAAGCATTGATTCAAAACTAGCACAACTGGCCTAATGTGTTTCCATCTGAAAACTAGTAAATGGGTCTTAAGTTGAGTGGAACCACCTTAAATGTCGTAGAGAAGACAAGATGTTTAATTTTTGTCTACTCTCTCTAATTGTGACGTATTTTTGGTGACTAGATAACTTTTTTTTTTCCAAAGCAAAAATATTTAGACTAATTTAAAACTGCTATAATCACAAGTTCTTCCTGACACTTTCTGTGTAGGTTCTGAAAACTTTTTTCCTCTATTTAGACATAAAACTGTGGAGCATTGTTCTTGGCAGATATCAGGAGCGCGCTGGCACAGCTTTTCATTCTCGTCTGAGTATTAAAGCATAATTTCAAGGCTCTCGTGATGCTTATTAGAATTAACTGCAGCATTTACTTGAGATTCTTTTATCAATTGTAGCAGTGTCCATCTCCAAATCTGATGCTGATATTTTGAGTTGGGGTACACCAGGACTTATTACCATCATTGTTGTGTATATGTGTATCTTATTGCTGTGGTATATAACATAAATTAAGCACTACACTGATGTGTTTTTAACAGTATAATTAAAGATTTTTAATTACAGCTAAACCTTTGAAATAAAGGCTAATAATGTGATTTTGGTCTATTGTTTTAGATGGCATTAACATTGAAGAAAATTTTTAGTGTATATTTTTATGGGATAATATTGAATAGTAAAGGTATCTAATGCTTATTTTTTTTCCCTTTGTTTTTATTTATTCAGTGGAACAAGTTCCTGTGGAGCCCTACAACATTCCACTGTCTCAAGCTGAGGTGCTGCAGACGGGCAGCGATGTGACACTGATTGCTTGGGGCACTCAGGTCCGTAAGGTTCTTAAAAGCTATTTGTCATCCAGCAAAGCCTAGGCTAAGGGTTGGAATGGAGTGGAATGGAATAGAATGGAATAGGGTTAGGTGATGTTTGAATAGTGTTGCATTCAGGCTCAAGAGCCAGACAATAAACTGCATGCATCTTCCATCACTAAATGCTTGAATAAATGATTGCCAGTGTTTACATTTATATGAAACCTGCTTTTTATTGTGTAAGAATTCACTCATTTTCGGTTGAAGCTGACTCTGGAAATGTCGAAGAGGTACCTGTGCAGGAGGCTAATGATTTATCCGTGATTATGAGAGTGACATATTTAAGAATGGGGCAATGAGATGTGACTCTGAGGAAGGCAATGGGAAAGGAGAGTTCAAAGTAGTATGCTGAAAGAAAAGTACAGATTTTTACTGCATAAAAAAGTGCAGTCTAGGGATTCCTTTATACAGAGAGTTAAAATCCACTGACATTTAATACAAATAGGGATTGATATAGTTTTGATTCTAACAGTTGTATTTCAAAGCTGATCAAGAACGTGATTGGACATCCTCCCCCCCCCCATTAAGATGTGCAAATATTGAAAAATCTGGTAAGAAAATACATGTTCGTTTTCAAGAATTATAGAAAAGAAATTTGAGTCTAGTTTGGAATTACCAGAAAAAAACATCTAATTGCCTTTAACCTATAATTTAGAAATTGCTATTTTCCTGGCCTAATTATATCTGAGAAGCTTTTAGAGGAGAGAGTGTTATAACTTTCATCACAAGAGTATTGAATTGATCTCTGGGGTTGTACCTTTTTTTTTGTTTGTTTGTTTGAAATCTGTAATCTTCAGTGCTTTTCTGTGATAGTTCCCTTGTCCTCAGACTACTTGATCTCCTTTATATCTATGGTTATTCCTACTAGTCTTTTATACTTTGCACTGGTATTAAATTGTGGACTCCTTCAATATCTTTACTTGCACTCGTTTCTCCAGCAGAAAACAGTTTCTATAGTTCTCTGTGTTCCCTTCTGAAAGTGCAAATTTTTGCTCCATTTGTGTAAGTGTTCATCATATTCCCAAAAACTGAATTGATAAAGTAATGGCTTGAAAGCTGGCTGAGTTTACCCAGTAGGCAGTAGTGCAGAGAGGACTTGGAGTGATGTCCTTCAAAAAGCTATGTGCTTTGGAGCTTGGAAAGTGTAGGCCAAGTGTTCTTTTGATATGAATAGTAATGGGACAGATGTGCAGCCCTAATCCAAATTTAGGAGCTGACCAAACCACGGGTGTGGCTGTATAATACAGCATGGGGACAGATGCTTAGCGCATACACAGTAAATCCAGCGTGTTCTGGATGTGTCAGGCTTCTGCAGATCAAATACATTCAGTGAGTTTGTGCTAAGGGTGTTTGCAGGCTGTGTGCATAAACTTGGAACTTGATTGCTAAAATGTGCAACCAATCCAGAGTTTATTGTCAATAGGCAGAGTGATTGCACGTACTCACTGATTACTTCTCATATGATTTTGGACGTTAGGTAGTTGCTTGGCAGCTGCTGCTCTGGTGGGGTTGCCTGATGCTTGCTTTCCTGGGTGGTACTAATGAGGGGCAGTAAAGGCTTTTAGTTCCTCTTGAGTTGTGCTCAGTGTTTTATGGACATTAACTAATCCTTATCCCCTGTGAACTAGGTAAACGTTCTCACTTACACATCAGAGAAACAGCAAAAACATCCATCCTATGTGTCATGTTGAAAATTCTCAAACCCTCTTATTACAGCCATAGATGTATTAGAAGTTTAAACAGAAACACTGCAAGCTATATTTTCTTTTTATTATTACAATACTTTTATTGATTTACCTTTTAAAATAGTCCTTTGGTGTTTAGCTATTCATGTTTGCATTATGTAGATACATGTTTAAATCCTTAATCATCTTGTTTCGGCATCGATTTTTTCTCTATGTAGAATTTAAGACTGCTCTCTGACCCTCAGGCAACTGACACTGCCTGACCGTGTCCCTATTGTTAAATTCTGTTGCCTTCCAGACCAAGGTGACCTCATCCGAATTGCTTATTGGGGTTGGTCCCTGGCCTCCAACACCTTACCTATGCCTAGAAGTTGCTCGATGGAGGTCATATGCCTCGGTCCAAATCTATATTATGAAACATTCTAACAATAAGGAAAACATCAGAGTTTGACAACATCATATTGAGAAATTATTTTTACCCTCATATCTCATGAGCAAATATTTTTTGCTGAGATATTTGTGGAGGATAATCTGAGTTGTTGTCATAACAGTTGTTATTTTCCGTGTTGGAGCATTTGCTTGCTAATGTTTGTTTTAGGGAAGCCAATGCTTACAATACATTTTGCTTAAGTGTTGTATAACATAATGTCAAGATAGAGTTTTGAATGTATGTAGTATTGCTTTCTTTTCTGTTCATATCATAACATACCTTATGAAAAGGATGCTAATAGATGCGGATTGTTTTACATCTACTTTGATGCACTTACATATGCCGCTAAATACATTCCTTGACTGGTGGATAGCAAGTAACACGTATTCTCATTCAGTACAAGCCTCTTGCTAGAGGGGAATACTTTTTTGTTTTAGTAAAATGTTAATAATAATGATCAGATAATGCAACATTTGTAATGTTGTTATTAAACTGTGTTGGAAGACCAGTGAATGGTCATATTGTCATTTTAGTGCCCATATGCTTTGATTGTGGGGGTCAGGACTGGATGTTTACAGGTAATTTTTTACGTGGTACTTACTATCTCTTCTAACTGTTCATAAGGTAATGCTTTGGAGATGATCACATTGTAATCTATTGCACTTTCAGTAAGTTGTAGTAAGTGTAGTTACTAGGACTATTTTTGAACGCATATAATGCTTCTTGTAGGATTTCATGTGACTGCTACATCAAAATACATTACTCTGATATATTTGGGTCTTAGCTTAGTTACAGTCCTAAAAAACCCTTATCCTAAACCCCAAACGGACTACAAATATAAAATAGTGAGGCCTGATACTGTTCACTGAAAGATAATTTTCTAGAAAGCAACAGTTTTGTTTTCAGCGATGCTTCATTGAAGTTAGTTTTTGAAATTGTGCTAAAATACTAGGAATAATGTAAGTAGTAAAGAAGAATGAGTAATAAATGCTTATTAGATTACTGAATAAAAAGGTTTCTGCTAAACATGCAGGTAATATGTTAAATCACTGCTTGTATTCAGTATGCCTTATTTAGAACATCTTAAACAGAAATTAAATGTTTACTTGGTGACAATACGTTGCCTTTTCAGGTACATGTGATCAAAGAGGTGGCAGCAATGGCTCAAGAAAAGCTTGGTGTATCCTGTGAAGTTATTGATCTGAGGACCATCTTACCCTGGGATACAGAGACCGTTTGCAAGGTAAGGAAATGATGCATGTTAATTTAAAAACACAACAAACCAAAAAACCCCACTAGTAACAACAATTTAAATGCAAATAATTGTAACTTTGTTCTTTAAGTTTTTTTAAAGGCCTACATTTTTGCTCTGTATTTTATATATTGTTCTGTCCTGGTTTCGGCAGGGATCGATATGAAGAGTAAATGCACATTACCTGGACCAAACATTTGCTTCAGCATTGAAAGAGAATTATGTTTCAATGTTCAAAATAATGTTAGAATACACGTTCTTTGCATTGAAGCAGAGGGCAGGATTTAATCAGACTTGTCCTTGAAAACTGCTTTTCCATGATTTCTGGCTCTTCCTCTCATCTTTGCTGTCCTTGGGTCTGAAGAGATCAGGTGAAATCTTTACCTTTCTTTTTCCTGCTGTTTTACACCAAGATGTTTATCTAGTTTTAGGTCTGCAATTATGTGCCTCAGTTTCATTTATCCATATTTCTAGAAATATATCTTTTGATTTAAGGTATATGGATTCTTGGGCTGGGGAGAAAAGGCAGCATTTACTATTCTCAGACTGTCTGGTTTGAAATTCATGGGTACTGTGAAGTCCTTGTCTACTCTATGGGAGACTTTGATTTTGCAAAGAATTTCTTTCAAAGCACTGGGCAGCTGAAACTGGAATTTGAATTTCCATATACTGAGAAACCATGGGAAGTGGTTATTCTACTTACATATACCTTGGTCTGCTTACCTTCCCACCCTCCTGCGCTCGCCCCCTCCCTCCCATACCGCTTTCTCTTCAGCAGCTAAGAGCTATTGGGAGGAAAGACCTTAAAGGAAATGGAAGGGGTAGTATTTCCCAGAAGTCTTTGTAAATGTAAGTAAGAATCCCAAGGTACACTTTTTAAAAGTGCCATTTTGGAAATTAAAAAAAACCCACCAAACAACCTGGAGTTGTTTCATTAAAGTGAAACCTTGTATCTGGAAAACTTTATTTCCCCCCTCCCAATTATGACCTATTTTTTTTCCCGTTGTCCTGAATTAGCAATTTTTTGTGTTCATTATTTACAGTGCCTGTAATCTCTCCCCCCCCTTCATTTTTCACTTACCCATTTGATGAGGTACTTTTAACATTATAAATACATGAATAAACTTAGATTCTTCAAAATAAATGTTAGTATTACTGCTTTGGGAGCACTTTTATAGACAGGTCTTTTCCATAGCTACCTCGTGAAAATTAGTCTGAAGTATCTTCCATGAAATCATTTTTTGTCAAGCTATGTGAGAACTATGAGAGAAGAGCTGCTACCTGACTGCCATCCAACAGTACAAATGCTGGTGAATGTGCTTTTGGACTGCAATGCTCCAAAAGGTTCTGCAGGTGTTTTTCTTTGCATTATTTACAGCATTAACAATTAGAGCATAAGCCAAAGGTTTACCGCTCACTTTACAGTAATGGCTCCCTTGATTTAAGCTTGGTCAAGTTGTGTGGGTTAGCAGAATGCTTGCTGCTTCTAATAGAGCTGCGAGTTTCCTTAAGCTGGCAAATCCACCCTCCTGCAGGACTGTGGCGAACAACTTGTGGGGTCCTAATTCAGTCTCTGTACACTAGCTCATTTTATGCTGCTGATCAAATCACTCGGAGATGTCTGCAGCTTAGTTAACTCAGGCCTAGTAACTGTAGTGTACTGAGTTAAGATAACCATAGGGATGAGAAGAGCCATGCGCTTGAAAAAGGCATGTGATTCCATCAAGTACCTTCTCTGCCTGCAGTTTCTAATTTAAGGCAATATCGTATCGTATCTACAGCTAAGTCAGATTGTACAGATGTTTAAATAGGGCAGATCAGGCACACCTCCTTATCTGACTCCTCTCTATGTATTTTGAGTATCTTAATTGTGTAGACAAGTGTTTTGTCATTCTGTAGTTGCTCAGTAAGGGACTTGCTCTTGGTCAGGTAAAGTATAAACAGATTAAGCGTGACAATGGGAAAGATGAGCCATTGGTCTGCTACTCTATGGCAAAGCTTGTATTTCTCCACAGTATGAATTTTACTGTTATGTTTGTCTGAGGGACTGCCAGTGGGACTGGATGGAGCAGATTATGGGAGGAAAGAGCCGTGTTGGGCATCCGCTATTGGCAGTGTCCTGCTATCCGGCTGTGGCTGTGTAACAAGTTGTGTACTTACATGCATAGCTATGTGTTGCTTCATATAAATTTGATCATCTCAGTTGAAGTGTTTTCAGTGTTTGTTTGCAGTGTATTTCATGTTACTTGGATGTACTTTCTATCTGTAAAAAATGAAATGTGTTGAGTTGTTGTCATCAATATGAAAAGAAACTTTGGCAGTAATAAATCCTTTACAACTCCTTCTGGACAAGTAAAATTATTCCTTTTTTTTAGCTAATTTTTTTTCCTTCTTTAAAGATTTGAGCTGTCATTCTATGAAAACAAAGCATCTCTTTGAAAGAGCAGTTAAGTCTGTTTTGTTGGATTGGACCTGCACTGAAACGCTTTCAGGAAAAAATGCAGCTGTGCACAGGAAGTGCAGAGCTTTAGTTGTACAATGTTTTGCAAATCTATACTTTAAAAATAGATATTGCATGAATATTTTCAGCTATGTTCCATCCTGAACGTCTTTTAAGGTAACTGTGGCATAAAAAAAAATATGGAACAGATAGACCTGTTGCTTTAAATCTGTTAATGAGTTTGCTATTAAGAATTAAGAGAGTTATTTCAAGAGAAATATAGTGCACGTTGGCTAGGCAGTTCAGCTATTTATTTTAATAAATACAAAAAAGTACATGTTTTTAGCATTGCTGTTACATTAGTATGGCTGCAGGCTGGCCAGTCTGATGGGAGAAATGTTAAATTACCATCTTCTGTAGATCTTGCCTTTTTTGCTCAGCTGAAAATAATTAGTGGATTGCAACACTGAATCTTTAATTTGCATCCTGGACAGCTTTTAAGGTAATTGCTGAACTAAATGGAAGGATGGAAATGATAGTTGTAGCTGCTTGCTGTAGCCTCATCCCAAGAGGAACTGCTTGGTGCAGCTGTTGCGGATGACACTGGCTTACAGGGTCAGTTCTGGTGACAGGACTTGTTATTCCCTTCCTGAGATGCCAGCGTCAAGAACCAAGAGAGCGGTACAAAAGCTGACTGTGCCAGAGAAAGTTCTTGGCTGTCCATTAGTATGCTTAAGTCCTCTTTGTGGGCTCTTAAATGATAATGGGATTGCTTTTACTCCAGTCCAACCACTAAGCAAATCATCAGCTGTTACAGGTTGCCCTTTGCCTCAGACTGTTACTTATGTCAGCCTCCATAAATCTCAGGCCAAGTTTTTATGTTTTTCCTTGTCTTACATATGAGTTTGAAATACGTCTCTCATCTCCTTGTCCTGTTGGATGCAGAGGAAAAGGATGGTGCATGTGATGCGCTGCAATCTTATTGCCGTTCTGCTGGTGCTGAGATGCATGGTCCTCTGCTGATGGGAGTCTGTGCTGTGATCTTATCGAGAGCAGGACTTTGGGTTTTGATGTAAAAACACATCCTTCAGTTTCACTGCTGGGAGTGGTGTCTTTTGTGATCAGTATAGGCTGTTATTTTTATCCTTGGCCTGCTGCTGCTTCCAGTCCCTGCACACACACGTCTCTGTTCACGTCTTTCATATCAACCTTAACATACCTGTTACAATTCTCTGTGTTATGATTCTCCTGTCTGCTGGCTTTTTCTAGAAGGCAGGGAGCCTTATCTAGCTTCTTGTAGGCTGTGTGATTGTTCCTAGTCATGTGCCTAAAGATTGGGTTCCCTATGTTCCCTATGGGTCAGTGTCATGAAGCTTTAATAAAGGAATTGAATTTTACAGAAGTTGTATGCATTTGTCAGTCTAATATGTTTTACTCTGCAGGCTTCTTTTATTCTTCTGTTTACCCAAGAAATGCTGCATTTTTATATTGCAGCAGAAAATGCACAGAAATATTTCTGTGAATTTTCCTTGTCAGTCTATGTAATTTTTAAACAAAATCAAGGAGCCTTCATGGTTGGTGTCAGGGAATGAGCAGGCCTCAACCTTAACTTAATTGTTACTATCTTTAGAAATGAAATAACTTTAACACTGAAGTTTTCAATGCAGCTATTTAAAAATTAGATGGTTTACTTAACTGGAAATATATGCAACTTTAAGACTACTTTGACAACTGTGGTGTAGGCATGAAGAAGAATGGGCTGAAATGGTTAGTGCTTTGGAGATGAGCAGTGATTATGTCAAAATTTTCACTGCAAATCTAACTGCTTAGTCTGTTTTCTGTAGCTGTTTCTATATAGAAAATTCTGTCATCAAAATACGTATTTCAGGAAACTATGAGAAGTTATATTCACAACTGCCACCAGAGGCCTCTTTTTAGCCAAATTAAGCAGCTGCTTTGACTTTGCATTACTCCTATGAGCATATTTATGAAAATATAGCTCTGAGTGAAACATAAATAAACATAAATATACTGAATATAAATAATAATTGCTGCCTAATTTTACTGATATTTTCTTTGCATTTTTAAGGTTTTGAGATTATGTTCAATTTTGAAATAGGTTAGCATTTGTCATCTGCATGAGAAGGAGGTGAAGGTGCACCTGCCTGGTGCCATGGGCTTTGAATGGATCCCAGCAGTAATTGAAACCACCTCTTCGGTACAATTTGTGGGATGGGTAAACGTGCAAACAGGGGCTAGATTTTTCTTTTGTCAATCTTCAGATGTCTAAGAATGAGTATTGAAGAGCTAGTTACAGTAGCTCATAGAGCTATTCTAGAGAAAGGATATCTCCTAAGCGTCATTCATCCCAGCTGTTTCAGCAGCCTATTTTAGGATGAGATAAATTGGCCTCTGGAAATGTCTTGGTTTAAAAGTTTAAAAAAAAAAAAGTTAAGGGAGCCCTGATTGATTAGTGTAGTGTAAAATGAGGTGAGATAAATCTCACCCTCATTGTATAGCTGAGAGATGACACCTACTGCTGACAGAAAGG